TTGCATACTTTGGAAGTGAAATTGGTAGTTTGTGGGAAGGACCTCTGTTGAACACAGCCAGACGAAATGGTCCCATTTAATGCAGGTCCCACTGAACGAAGGGGAATTTAAAGCCTGAACCGAGAAAATAAATCAGCCACGTATAGGAAACTCGAAGATTACGATGTCTTTCGATAATTAGTCGGACAAACGTACACGTGAACAGTTACTCGAACGAACCGGTAACAGAGATCCGTGACGATTCGTGAACATCATCATCAGCAGATGCTGTTACACTCGCGCGGGCTTTTCGTACGGGGAACTATATCGAGCGTGTATATGTATACCGTTGCGATGGTGTTTGTTCTCCTCACTATCTCGAGCATGGTAGAACCGTTCGAGTTAAACCGTGCACAAACACGAAGGATGTGCTACTTGCACTCGTGAAAGTGGAGCCATGCGAGGAAACTTTACGAGTCCGTTGCGATTAGTCCAGTGAGTCATCGGTGTGTACTAGTTTTGAAAGATCGTAAAAGTATGACACAGTGGGTAGATTCTCGCGCGATTATGGGTCTTGATTAACCCCACCGAGAGAAACTGCAAACGCACGTGCAAACGGGGAAAGGTTCTCGGCGAGGTCGTTCTCGGATCGGTTAAAGTTCACGGGTCTGGCCATCGTCGGGGCTATTGTGAGCGCTAGACAATAGGTGTTTCTGAAAGACTGAAAGTGACGAGCTTCGCGATCAACGCCGGAACATCGAGCTAACTAAAGTTACAAAATCATTACCAGACTGAGGAAGTTTATCCAAATTCCTAGTTCCAGATACTGATACCTACAAATTAAAACGGGACAGAATCTTGAAATTTGCACTTCAGGTTTTAGTAAGTGAATAATAAAAGAAATATTATTCTATTGTATTTTCAAGTTAACACATGCTACAAATACATGAACACCCCCAGTCTAATCATTACAGTAAATTATCGATGACTGTTCGAAGGCTCCTCGGCACTAGGTGTTCAGATGTCATCCCCACCACTGGGAAGGAGGGGTTCAAACACTCATCGATGATTCACTGTATTCCTGATACATTGTGACAACAAGAAATAGTCAAACCCTGGTTTACAAACTATCAAAGCCGACGATTGGGTCAATCGTGACTCCTGGCAATATTTCGAAATATAAGCAATTAAGTGACTGTGACTAGGGGTTTCCGGTGACCCAGCCATAGAAACACGAGAGTTGAACTTCAATTCTCGAAACTTATCGACCGCTGCTAGAGGACTCGCTATTCATTATAAGCCGTCTGGAAGGGCGGCCAAGCAGCTTTTTCAATTTATAACATTTGTCGTCGCGAGGCCACACGACCGTTCCAAGGCATAGGAACGCCCGGCGGCGAATATGTATACATGTACACATCCTGCTTGTACGAACGGTTCTTCGGCGATGTGGGTCAGCTCGTTTACACGACCGGCTCTTGGCTTATCTCGCGGCTAAACGACATATTCGTTTTGACAACTTTTTACGGTTCGACCTGACCAAGGGTCGTATCCTTACAAAGGGACCAGAGGGTTGAAAAAGATCCTTAGACGACCGCTGGAAAGGGGCTCGCCAATACGAGTCGCCAACTCTCGAATTAGCCGGCTAGTTAAGTTGCTCGAACGATTTTCCCTCGAAATCGAAACGGTTCCAACGAATTCCGCGTTTTCACTGTTACCGCATTGCGTATGGCTAATAACGTCCGCGTTCGCCTCGCGACGCGGTTTAAATGAGATTCAAAAAGATCGACGATAATACCCTCGACATCTTCCCCGTGCACGCGCGTGATCGCGTTTACGTAATACCGTTTGAATCCTTGCCGAGGCGTTCGATCAATTTCACCGAGCATTATTCGCTTTATCATCGAGAAAGTTTTCGCTCGTCGAATACGCTTATCGAAACGGGGGGGGAAGGAAAGTCTCCGCGGTCGCGCGATTTAGAAAAAAAAAAATAGACGTTATCGGTCTAACCGATAGCTTTTTTAGAATTCACGGCCGACGTCGATAATTTCCTAGTTGTTTACCCACTGGTAACGGGAGAGAGTTTTTCGAATAGCCTTTCTTTCTTCTTCTAGTTACCTTTTCTTCTGATCGCACATTTACTGAACACTATTCTGGCTAAAGCATTAAGAACTATTGGCTATATTAATACAGTTTCAAAATATTTTTAAAAATTCAGAATGGTCAACTAGGGTCTTTCGACCGTGTTTTCAGGTTGGCCAACGATTTTCGTAACTCTTTCAACAGCTTCACTCACTCCCCATCAGCATTAAAATTATTAATCAGCAATAAAATAATTATTAGTACCGTATCGTTTATTTTCATTTTTATGTACGTTCTTCTCTTGTTATGCTAAATTTTTCACTAACTTTTGCACTGGTATTTATCCTGTTAATAAATAAATAAATAAATACCTAAAAGTGTCGATCCGTGAGCTTCTGACACAATACTTCGCGAAGATCGAATTAAAGCTGGTCAAACAGTAGCCCACCCCAAATATGGCTTCCTTTTCACTCTGATTGCTGTCCATAATGATCACTCGGCCCTATAGACACTTATACGAGTTCCTACGTTAACGACGAACGAATCTGGCCGTGTAATTGAACTTTGACCTTGGATCGGTATCGATCATACATGCGTGTAAATGATGCTCGAGTTGAATCCGAGTTCACTGGAGGCTTGCATCGCGATGATGCAACCGATCGTTCCTCATAGAACAACGAATAGTCTTCCTAATCGCGTTTCAGCATTCCTCACTGTCGATTCTCCGCTAGGAATCGTTTTTTATCTACAAGAAATGACGCAATCGGTCGGAGCCTGGGTGCGATCGCGAAAACGACGCAGCTGATTGTCACCAATTGTCGCGGAAACTCGTTCTCCACGACTCGATTACGAAAAATTCTATTCTCATGGTATCCTCGTAACAGCACGGAAAAAAGGGTATCGTGGAACGATCGGATTCACGTATGTTGCGCGTATCGTTGAAGCGTTTGCACAAGGTTGCACCGTGGCGTGCACTAGCACACGATGACGAGGCGGAAAACGACGATGGAAAACGAACAAACGGAAAATTTTGATGAATTTCGAAGAGACCCTCGTACTTTGCACTAATTAACGATGTCTTCGATATTGACATTAACGTCTGAGAAAGCGAATTGCACGGATTTATTAATCCTTATAGTACCTTTAAGTTCTCCGGGAAAACTTATTTTATACAATGTCATTACATGTGTTTAAATTATATTAAAAATGGAAAGTCAATATATCGGCTGAGGGTATTTTTCGGAAAACCCACGGAGCCGATATATCGGCTCTAATGTACTAAAAGGGTTAATCTTCGATACACCCTCGGACGCCTAAGTAAATCGAACTGATCGATAGATCTAGTAATAAACGAGTGCTGGTTGCTCGGCTTAACGCGATATTTTCTTTCGTAATTGCCACCACGGGTGCTCTCGCCGAAGTGTTCAGTCGCATTGCGTGTGCCAGCACGTGTCTTTGATCGTGTTCAAAGTCTGACGCAACGAGCACTCGTGGCACACACTGTACACACAGCCGCTGGATACACCACCAAAACCGTACACGAAAAAGACTACCGATTTACAAAACAAAATATTAAACCGATGAAATGGAAAAATAATCCTGACCGACGTTTCATATATTCGTGGTTATGTGGACAATCTGTCGAATCGATGCGATTCTTGCCATTTTACGTGCAACCTATGGATGCGTCACAAGTTTGACGCAATTTCCCTGTAAGATTCATAAGAAAACCGGAAACGCGATGAGGCCATGGCCGAGGACCGAGTTCGTAATTTGTACAGGGCTGTTCACAATCTATGTGACCACGTTGCAGCAATTATTTCGCGACTCAGTACGATAAAACGAGAATCGATTATTCAGGTGTGCAGGAACGACTAATGTCGTTTGCTTGAATTTTTTTCGGTCGCCACAGGAAAGTGCAGACATAATGATTTAATGGCCAGCGATGTCATCGCTACGTAATTGGACATGCACGGCTGTCTGGACAGACAACGATACCGCGAATGATATCGAAGTCCAATCTACTTGTAATGAAACTTGAGATACTTTGGAGTAACTTTTACCCGCGGACATACAGTATAGAAATCAACGGCCAAGGTTCTAGGGGCTAAAGTTTCTCTGGATCGATGCAGTAATCAAGATAATTGAGTCTGTTAAGTACTCAGTTTCGAACTTTGGAAAGACAGTCACTGAAACGTCCGACGTTACACAATAAGTAAACTATAACCTATCGTCTGGCATAATGAAACAGACGGTATGCTCTTTAATTCGTATTCCAAAGTTGAGAAGGCTTAAACACTTCCCCGAAAACTTCGAAACTGTAATATGGACTACGTGATTCCTCCTCCCTTACCTGCCACACCGCGGTATTTAAATTTGAATAAAACGGTAGTTGGATACGCAATGCTTTAAAAACCGAGGTGTCCTTAAAGGGTTTTTCTCGCGAGGCATCGAGAGATTCGAACGTGAAGCTCCGAACGAGGTATACGCGTGGCGAGGAACAAGATATACGCATTAAACCGAGAACGCTGTCTCTCTCGTTCGGTCCTTCTCTCGCGATACAATTACAATACACCTACGAGATAGGGCCCATTTATACGGCCACTGTTACCTACACACACATGTCAGGCCAGGAAATCGGGCTCGATCATCTCGCTAATAGTTACAGCGCAACCCTCCAAGGGTGAAACAAACGTAGAAAAAGCACAATGTTCGCAATATGGTATCGCGATGCAGGTGAATAACATGGTGTCCCTTTGTGGCCACAGGCAACATACACACATATCCATGATATACAGCCATGGACGGTAATGATAAAAAGAGAGAAAGAGAGAAAGAGAGAAAAAGAAGTATCCTCTTTTATTACAATTCACTTGTCATGAGAACGCCAACAAACTGTCATTCGAATAAAAAGAATTCAATGATCGTTTTTGGTTACTCACCGATCTGTAGTATCAAACGAGGTAGCACGATCCACCGAGCCTGGAGTCGTTCCCGTGGGTCAAATGATCCTGACGAACCCCATGGTTTTCCCAAACTATCGACGCTCTCCTGGACTCGTCTCTACTGCGTCACGATCCTCACGAGAACCCTTTTCCAATCGGTCCTCAAGTTGAAACCTAACCAGAGAAGTTTTGACGGCTGCTAGACTGCAACAGCACAAGCACTCACGACCACCTCGAAGGTCTGTTGCCAACTGACCCAGCCAGTGACAGCTCCGTGCAGGACAACACGTCCGCCAACTGTCGTTCGATAAAGGAACTACGGACTCTCCTTACAATGTTGCACAAAGACTACCTGAAACCGACCGTTGTCCCTTATGACGAAATCCTTGCAAATAAAATCCCGATTTCCTCACAACCGCGAGTGTTATCGAATCTTCGGCCTCTAATAAACACAGTTCGCTTATGGTCCAGGGATTCGAACAAAGGTTTGTTGATAACGCGAGGGTATGATTTACGTCGTTCAAATAAAAGAATGGGCTGAAAAGGAACGGCCAAAACGGTCTGTTATCGATTCCTAGCAGCTTGTAAAAAATTTTTACTGTAATTACAAAACCTGAAGGACAAATTGCCCAGTAAATTTGATATAAATGTTACATCTGAAAATTACATAGAGCTTTAACATTCGATGACACACGAAATGGAAGAAACTGAGGTCATGGGAGCAAAGAGATTTCTTTCCCAACAGTTGCTCGCCCTGGCGATCATATGGCAATCAGCTGTAATTCACGTTTCGTCCATGGACATATGTTTTCACTGGATTTTCAAAATCCACATGCGAAACGATTAATTGATTGCATGTTTTTTTCAATGTATTTAACGTATATCTTTTGGGACTCCGCATTCATTATCGACGATCTTGCGCAATAATTCCGTCGATTTAATTCGCGCGACTGCATCATTCAGACGTGTTCGAAATCTTCGAGCAGAGTATTTTCGCGTCAAGGTTAATTGATGTAACGGTTTATTATTTGACGATTAAATGAGAACGAATCTTGCGTTAAGCAATGGAAAACCCCGAATCTTGTAACAATTATACAGGGTGTAATTTGATCGGTCGCAGGATAGATTATGCATTTCAAGTCTTCAGAAAACACGTTATTCCATAAGATCATGCTTATTTTATTGCTATCACATTTGTACTTGAACGATGAGGATACAAACGTACGAAACATGTTGATGAAAAGCTCCGAGTATTCTTGTTTCATCCTCACATCGAACGGAAAGATATAAACGCCTATTAAATGCACGTATTATTGTGATTTAATCCATGACTGTTTTATTTACAAGTATTAATTATTTCTCAGAGCAGGAGGACTGAAAGGTACTTCGATTGATACACTAATTAGTAATATCAAAAATTATGTCTTGATAAGAATATAGTGCGCACGAAATTGGTGACTGTCGTCAATTTTAATAAGATCATTTCTTGCCGGATTTTTTTATACCGCCCGTGACCAGTGGTCCCCTTTGACTCGCCTTCTTTGCCGCTTCAGCGAGAGCTTTCTGTTGTTCCTTTTGTTTTTGCTTGAACGCTACGTCCTCATCATCCATAGCTTTTTGTTCCTTTTTCGGTGCCTTAAGAGGCTTTTTCTTACCACCATCGCGAGAAGACATTCTAAAAGAACATCTCTGATTTTACACGATAACTCGAAACGGATGATCGCGCTATGATAAGGAAAATTAACAGGAAAGATATTGATTGTACAGGTTTTGAATGAAACGTCAGAATTCAATTTTTATCAATCTTTAAACCAGCGGTACTCAAAAACATAACCTATAAATTGCTTGTCAAGTACGAACTTGATAAATCATAGAATTAAAAGAATTAAAATGCAAGTTTGATGGTCAAAATAATATGAAAAATTATGCACAGCAAACACTTGTGAATTAATATGCACAATATTCAAAGTAAATGCAATTCACGTATTGGATACACTTCACGTGGATAAAGGTATACTATGCTTATTGTAGTAAAAAAGGAAACGTTATTAACAGATTTTTTACCTTTTATATTGTTAAAAGTCTGAAGAAAACCGCCAATCAATTTTAAAGATAGAGTGCTTCAAAACTTAATACTTTTGTAACAAACCGATGTCTGTAAAATGCAAGTAAAAACGGACCTGTATTGTCCGACATTAAGTACTCGTGATCTCGTGAAGCTTGTGCTGCCGTCTATCAAGAATTTATCGACTCCTTATTTGTTTCAACTACATATCTGAGAATGTTTGCCATTCCGTAAAGTAATCTTTCATGCAATAGTAATTATCATTGGTGCTGTTTGTTGATAATAAAATATCTTATATATAATTCAAAATGTAACAAAAAATCCAGTGGCGCAATCTACGGCGAAACATTGAAGTTGCTAGCCAATTCGACTATGTAGATACATATGAATGTCTGTCACTGTATGGACTCAAAGTTCATGCTTTATCGGTAACGTCGAGTATTGACACTAAAATGGTAATAAGGTCCTAGAACCCATATGACCTCACAAAAATTTGGCTACGATAAGCATCGGATGATAGGTCTATTCATATATGCACCTTTTCTGTGGTATCACATAGACGTATAGTAACTAGCTTTAGGTCACCATTCTGCCTTTGCCTGATATACATTTCAATCCCTCTACTTCTCTGTTTTACAGGCAATGACAACTTCTTTATCGTACCATGTGTCGTTTCAAAATTAGAATGTTTTTTCCTCTAATTTTTGACATGGTCTAACTATAGAACACAATGAAACCGTGCGGTTTAGATATTACTTGTAGACCCTATAGTAATTATTATAGTATCTCTAATATACTTATATGTACACTCACGAGCAAACTCGGCTTTCACTAGGGGAAAAAATAACGTAGGGAAAAGGTCTCCTACCACTCGGTAGTAGGAGGCCCTTCTCCTACGCCACTTTTTTCCCTGGCGGATACCGAGTTTGCTCGTGAGGGTACATCCACTTATGAGTCCCAATAAGTCCCACTCACTGGTATTACTAGGTATTACTGAAACTCATCGTTAAATTGTGCTGCCATCTGCCTCATTTGAACTTGATCCGTTGGAAGTAACGTTCACGAGTGAACACAAGAAAAAGATAGTGCCAGAATTAGTATTCGTTGTTGACCACGTGCCGAGATTCGAACCTTTCATTCTTCGTGTTTCAAAAATGCATTTGAAAGTGAATTTAATCGCAGCTGCTTGTGAGGGTATGGGTATCGGTGTAAATGGGGCCTTACCATGGAAACTTAAGTAAGCTAATTATGATGTAGTATGACAAATTGACAATATCTTTGTACATTCTAAACTTGTTCCGCTCGGACACAGGAATGAAATGGAATTTTTCACATCTATGACTACGAAAACAAAAAATAAAAGCAAGAAGAACGTAGTTCTCATGGGACGGAGGACATGGGAATGTATACCAAACAAATACAGGCCGTTACGAAATCGTGTAAATATGGTCCTATCGTCACAATCTTTGTAATGTTCATTATTTTATCATAACTTAACTTAACATAAGAAATAAAATAATAATAATATTTAGGAATTACAACGATGGAGCAATTGTATGCAAAAGTATTCCGCACGCACTCGAGATTATTTTGCAACCACCACTGAAAGATCAGATTGAGAATATATGGGTAATAGGAGGGAGTTCTGTGTACAAGGTGTGCATTATTTATCAAATTAATGTTGCATTTCTACTCACAGCTTACTTTTACATTCGGGTTTTAGGCTGCAATGGAGTCTCCTAACTTTTATCGGTTGTATCTAACGAGAATAAAAAAACATTACGACTGCGATACTTTCTTCCCGTCGATTCCAAATGACATTGTCTTGAAGCAGTAAGTTCATATAATTTCAACAATTATCTAGATTTTGTTGCTTAAATCGTTCTCCACTGATTTCAGAGATTGCAACATTCCACAAGGTGTACAAGAAGAAAACGGTATACAGTTTGTATACGAGGTATATGAGAAAGAGTAGATGGACGATTTTAGTACTATAAAATTGCGTCTACTTTTGTGCGTTTTGTATCTTAAGATAAATATATATTCCACATAGTCTCGACTCTTTCAGTGCTTTATTACCCACAAAATTTATCCTTCGTAACAAGAAAGTACGGTTGCGTGAGATATTTTATTGATAGTCATAAAATTCCTTAACCAGGTGGCCATTGCAATTGACGACCACCGAGGATATGCAAATGCAAATGAAAGACCGACTGTGCGCCGTGTTTTCCGTCGTTGACGACCAGACGAAAACCGTCGTCGAGACCTTGCTGTTTCGCCACTTTACGGGCGACTAACATTAAATGACCCAGCAGAGCTTCGTCCCCGTCCTCAGTCTTGGAGAGTTGAGAAATCGGTTTTCGTGGGATCACCAAGAAATGCACCGGCGCTTGAGCGTTGATGTCACTAAACGCCACGCACTAACAAAAAAAATTGTTATCTAAGCAGTGCATCGTAACTTAATAGTATTATTAATGGAACAGCAACTTATATAAGACGATATTGAGAGATCTACATATTCATCAGAACTCGAAATGCAGCATTACGATAAAACTGCGGATTTTATGCTCTTATAGCATACGCGACCCCCTGAAACTAAGTACAGTACAAACCTGAATACAGTTCAATTAGATAAAGTAACTTAAATCAAGTCCTACAAATTTATATACATTTGTATTGACATTCACAGTTGAACTCTGTGGATTGAATGTAATGTAAACAACATTAATTCTAGAACAAACGTAAAAGTAGGAACCGTAATACGAAATCGTATACTTTAATTATTGTACACAAAGTATATTTCCATGATGGTTAGGTAACAACAACTGAAATGTGAAAAACCGGCATATAACCTCGTGACAAATGTGTTAAGACATGTGTTAACGTACCACAGTGTTTTAGACGAAAATGAAGGGTTACGGTCTCATTTCGTGTAAAAGTTTTCAATTTACCTGATCATCTTCGTAAATGAAATTGCAAGGAATTTCTTTACGCAGTATTTTCCCGAAAATGGTATCACCACCAGGAGTAGCAGTCTGAGCCTTCTCCACTTCGGTCGCCATCTTTCTCCAGCATGGAGTGTGATTTAGCAGACTACCCTTCAAATGTGACACTGTTCTGGACGAATTTAAAGCAAGGTTCAGAAGGAGCTTCATTTCGAGTCTCCCCGAAATCCTCAGGACTATAAGGTCGACGACTTAATATTGTGCAGTTATTAGCTGATTAAATTCCGCGATTACGAGAGTACAATGTACAGGGCACAATGGCGCCGAGGCGAAATTGGCGGGCCTTTTAAACGGCGTGCAAATGAAAGCCTCTCTCGCAGAACGGTTTTGATATAGAAAACTATAAAAATCTTTATTTTGTTGTACAGTCTTTTTCATGGTCTTCCACATTTTCTTAGAAACTGCGTATTCGAGGTGTATATAAATATTGTGTCCAAAAAAGTTTATACAGATAACGTTACATTACTAAACGTTATCAATCGTTTCCTTTACATACAATATGGCAGTGTACTTTCTGGTTTCTTACGCGGAAGATTCTAGACATCTCTCCGACGGATCTAACGGGTCTAAAGAGGCCCCAGTCTTACGAGAATAACGCTACTTAATAGTACGCTTACCGTTAAATTTAATTACATCGAAAATTAAGGCATAGGGGATTCGAATGTTTCAGCGACTCTGAAAGGCACACAACCGTTTAACCCTTTCATGACTATAGACCCATAATATGGGTTTGCAACCTCGTTGTTTACAATACCAGTGTTCACTCTAAACAGGTATATATGTACAAAGTACGAGAATTTTACGATTATATACTTAATATAGTGAAAATTTCACTAAGGTATGAGCAAGACGTATAAAATTCGTTTTTTCATATTCGGTGCACATTCATGGATTGGATTGTATTACGTGTTCTGTGTGGTCGAGAAGTACTTCAGAACAAGTTGCTGTGAAAATCAACCAGGCCAAAGGAATGAAAATTATCGATTTCGCAGAAACAAGACGTACTGAACTACTACTTACATCTAAATAAATAACGTACCAATAACGCTTACCACTAAATACACTAACGATCGAAAAAATTTACGGATCCTCCGGGTAGATCGAGGGGAAGCATTGTTCTTCACCGTGGGATAACGACTAAATACAATTAAATTATGATGATGCTCGTATGAATTAAATATGATGATAGTCATATAGACGGCAAACCAAAGTGTTTTGCAATTATAATTTCTAAATGAGAACAGAATACAGACGAGTCGTGACTGGTTTCGAAGATTCGTACTGTTATACTCGTAACAGATCTTGTTAAGAAAGAAAAAGAAAATAATTATATCGTTTTGGATACCGTAATGTCGGCTTGCATTCGACAAGTAATAAATGTAACGAGAAAATTAATCATCACGAGTCGTCTTCGATGAAATACCTGTGTCTAAGAGCTTGAGCCGCAGTCAATCGAATATGGGGATCGAACATGAGCAGATTTTTAATTAGATCTAGTCCGTCCTCGTTGAGATCAGGTATTATTGCTGCTAAAGGTTTCGGTTGCCTGTAAGGGAACGCTGTCCAGCTCAGGGACACGTTCTCAGGCCACTCGTCCTGCGATGGTGTTCCTATTACTCTGCAAAACAATTGTAATAAAAAACATACGTATTTACCTGAAACTCGTTCTCTATCGAATCACGAACGACAGTCTTGACTGACTTACTGAAAAATCCTATCGAGTTGGTCGCCCTCGCTTGTACCCGGGAACAGGGGTTCCAAACGACTCAATTCCGCTAGTATGCACCCCACGGACCAGATATCAACGGGGGTCGCATAGGAGCAGCCTAGAAGTACTTCAGGTGCGCGGTACCATTGTGTCACAACCTAACAAAAATACCCATTTCAGAATAATACCTACACCTTCCCTTGGATCGAACATTAAAGGGGAAACACGATGCTAGAGAACTCACCACGGAAGTCAATCTCATTTCAAAGTCGTACGTCTTTGCCAGCCCGAAATCAGCAATCTTTATTCTACCCTCCCTGGACACCAACAGATTCTGTGGTTTCAAGTCCCTGTGTATGATCCTATGACTGTGTAAAAATTCGACACCCCTAAGTATCTCCTTCGACATCTGCTTTACCAGTTGTGGGGGGATACCTGGCCGCGGACACGAGGACATGTAGGACGCGAGATCCCTTTCCACGTGCTCGAACACCAGCCACAAGGTGAGCCCACGATCCAGCCTCTCCGATCGTCCGTCAGCGGAGGGCAAATGCAGGTAATTCCCTTGGCAAACGTCCAGCAATCGTACCTATACCCACGGGACAAAATATCAGAATAATAATCGATGTACTATAAAACAATATCTAGCGAACAAAGTATGTTACAATGTGAGGATGTTCGAATCTCTCGAGTTGCTTCAACGTAGCGATTTCTCTCAACGTAGATGTGGGAAGTCCATCAGCCGTCAAAGGTACCCGGACTTTCTTCAATGCGACAACCTGGCCAGTGTTCAAGTCCTTGGCTTTGTAAACAGTACCATAAGCGCCGTTGCCTATGAGAGAAAGTTCCTGATAGAATGCATCCTCGCCCAGCAGCGAGGTTTGAATCTGCACCTCGCTATCGGTCTCCGATTTTCTGCTGGAACAACCAGAGTGATCCTGCTGGCCGTACTTCATCTGTACGATCGTTTCGAAGCTGCTGAAGTGTCCCTCCTTCGACGAACCAGGCGTGACCTTAGCCGGTCCTTCCAGGTTCGTTTGGATCAATTGTTTCGTGCCGTCCAACAATTCCTCGCTGATCTCGAACGGACTGATCCCAGACGGTATCAGCTCTATAGTCTTCTCGGATAACGATGCTGCCACGGAACTGGCTAATTTCTCGACGGTCTCGAATTCCTCGTTGGTCAGCTCGTGCTCCCTTTCAGAAGTTCCCTCGATCGAGGCCTGATCGACGAACTTGGACTTCTTCGGCGGTGTCGGGGATGACAGGTCAGGTCCGAGCTCGGAGCTCGGACGTCGCGACGTTCCAGCCATCACAACATTTCGACTTCTACCTGGAACGAAAAGACACCACTCGCTATCTTTCTGCCGAATTGCCCCGCGGGTAAACAATTTCCAAGAACTTGTTAAATATGACACAGGGGGTGTGTCTTATTTCCGAGTTACACCTGTGTTTTATCAAACACGAAGAATCGCGCGAAGGTGATCGAGAAGGTTGGGAAAGGCGAGACTCGATTCGAGCAATTATCAATATGTAAATAATAAAATTCGGATAAGGTTTTATTAAGATGTCTGTGATATCATGGAAACAATAATCGGGATCATGTGTATATGGATATGCTGGGAGAGGGGACACACTTGTGGTGAACGGCATATAGACGACTACAGGAGGAGTTTCATTAAAATTTACGCGCGATCCTGTTGCACCGTCTGCTATGCGACATCTGCACCAACACCTGCGCTCGTATAATAGCGCTGCCTCATCGTCGTCTTTCCAGAACATCTTGTAAACGCAACAACCTGGCTCTTGTACAAGCCTTAACCGGGGTTCTTGGCCTTTGTCTTCCTCGGCCAAAGTGTCGACCGCCTATGGGGCCCCGGTCGAAAATCGTGCTATCTGGATCAACGAAGAAATTTTTTTCCTTGAGCAAGAAGAATTCACCTTTATCGTCCTGAATTATCGAATGAGATTGTTTCTGGAGAAATTTTTCGTGAGGCAAAATCTAAGAAGGTTCACCTTAAGATGTCATGAAAGTTTCTCGACGAACTGTACGAACGTGATATCTATTTGGGCTGTTCGATAACAACGGAAGTATCTGATCGCGAAGGAAAACAATTTGTCTGTGTGTACACACGGTGACCAAACGTCGACACAACAAAGCTGCATGAAGGAGTTGACGATAATGCCGGGTTGCGTGAAGAGAAATACGAAGACTTAGTTTTTGTCGGTAACACACGTCACGAATGATGAAAATTGTCGTGAAAAGGAGGGGGAGGCCGTTGAAAAGGCGAAGCACACGGTTTCGTAATGTTTACATAGACCAACAGGGTGTAATAAAGTAAGCGATGTTATCGCCCAGAGATTTATAACGTTTATCGTTCGACCGTGCATTCTCCATCGTTGAGTTTTTCCTACCGGAAGATCTTTTATCGCACGAGACCTTTTTCGAATCGATGGGTTTTTTCCCTTTTTTGAAGACGTTTTGAAGAACTCAAGATATTTTCAGTTCCATAAATATCCTCGAAACACGTCATCCTCGAAGAGGAAGCCAGACACGGTCGGTTCTTGATTAACTTCTTTTTATCAACTTCCTTTTGTGATAACTTCGGGTGAAAAAGTGAACGGACGGAGAAGACATGCGTTACATCATTTGAAACTATCGCGAACTAAAATACACTCTACTTGAACGAGATCTATACGTACTTCATTCTGGCGGGTTTCACGAAACGAAGCTAACTTTGTGTACCGCGTTCCCATGTAACACTATCTCGAGACCACCTTCTCGGAAGGATCGCGTGCCTCTAAAGTACCATTTTAACGGAATAAATATGCCGGCGTCCTCCGTGTCTGGGAAATATATTCCACGAAGGGAAAGGTGAAACTACAGCCTTGAACTTCGTGTCGAGGGGGGGAGAATGGAACGCAAACGTGAACAAGTTTTCTGAGAATTGAAAAAAAAAAAAAGGAAAATCGGAGCCCATGGGAACGATAACGAAAGACAGCATTGGGAGGTTTCAACGACTACATAGATCCACGATAACGCGCAGCCTGGGATCCGATAGTGCAACTTTGATCTTAACCCTTTTAGTATCCAAAAATTAAAAGATCGGCTCCACGGTCTTTGCCACAAATACCAACGATATTTCGGTTTTCATATGCAATACGAATTATAAATTCTGATACAGAAACTGACGAATACTTTCCACATTTTCGATGTAAAATAAAAAATACAAAAGAGGTGTAACGTTATCTTTATATTTAGAATAAATGTGTTAATTTTAATAAATACCTTCAGAAATGTATAATTCTCCAAAGTATTTGTAGATGGTACACAGAAAAATTGTGAAGTACTAAGAGGGTTAATATTCGTGGAAAGTCGAGCGAATGGTTGTTACGACGAGCCCTGTTCTTTTATCGGTAAAAACGTAACATCGATGATGTTTCTAACGTTCAAGCTGGTAACCGTTTCGATTGCACAACAACCGCGTTGTTCGGTTTCGTATCTTCCGTGATGTTACACGTGTTCGATTGTTGACGAATTACTGTAGCACGGAGAGCGATAAAGATTCTCGCACGTCAATCACACGTCACGGCGGATTGCCACTTAATCGTGGCCGTTAAATCGGGATGCGTTGCAACCCAGTTGGTATGAATGGGACTGATTCTTCCGAACGAGATTGCCACTTATCAAGCAAAACTATAACAATAATAACAACAATACGTCTCTATTGCAACAATATACAGTCTACAGTAGACCGAAGCGGTAATATGTGAATAAATACACCGACGAAAGCGTAATATACAGGGTGATACAAAAAAAGGATTCATAACTTCTAGGGTAGATAATACTCGCGAAATGACGAAGAAAAAATCCTAATAAACATAGGTCGACAAATTAATATATTCAGACTTATAAACAATTTTTTGTTTCGGTTAAACAGAGTGACTATTTTGCTTCGGGAGCTATCTCTACCGTATAGAAACAACGAAGACAATTGTAAAAAACCAGCTGTAATCGGAAAAAGAAACAATGATAAGGTAACCAAACGAAAAATGGTTTATAACTTTGAAACTATGAATCTTTCGACCCATGTTTATCGAGACTTTTTCTTCATCACTTGGCGAGTACTGTCTACCCTAAAAGTTATGAACCCTATTCTTGTATCACCCTGTATAACTCGATCGGTGAACGTTAATCGGTAGAATAATTTCGTGGTACGAGCCTGGAAATACCTGTGGTGTCCTCTGAATAATCGAAGAATTGGAAATTAGACGTAGGGCAGGAAGCGATGTAGTATGTAAGCTGTTGGGCCAAAGAATGCTCCGATGCCCCACCACGGTCGTACGGGAAACGCGACGCGCATAGACGAGGAAAGTAAACACGAAGGCGCCAGTAAGGTTTCGGATTATTCATGGGGTTGACACTACTATCTATCTGGTCGGGGTCTTTCACACGACGGGGAACACTTATATGCTCTCTCGACCCTCCCCATTCACTGGTCACGTTCGTACTGTGTAACAACCGCACGGAGAGACCGGCAGCGTGTGTTAGTCGCCGTGCAACGAACGGACACACACACGAAAAATTACGTGGACAAGAACACGATCGATCCTCCCCACGGGGGAATTTCGTATTTCGCGATGAATGGAGAATTGTATGAGACACATTTACCCTGGAAAAACCGCTCGACCGAATACACCCGACCCGCAGAAACGCGCGGGCGACTGGAACACCGGCACAATTATTGATTTATCTGTTTTTCGCGATGACTAATCGACTGGCCGCAGTCGCGTTTCCACGCATGGCCATTCGGAAGTTTCGGGTGGACAGACGCCGCGACATGTCAAAATGTCGATGGTTCATGGGTTTTCAATATCACACCGAATTGGAGATGTTCGATTCTCTTCTACGGTAACACGTTACTGCCGTGTATAACGCATACACCGACGGGCAAAAGTATGGAACCAGAGTTCCCGATGGAACAGTAACCCATTACTTTGTTACAATGTAATAAAAGTTACGAAATCGGTATACATTCTTCATTATCTCTTTATAGAATAATATTTTCCTCCTACTTCAACACTAGAATTACCAACGATAAAGGTATATCCAATTCTATCAGATCGATAAACATGACAGACTTTCGAAACTATTAAAAGTTTGAATCAACTTTGATACTATCAATCTATTATCATTAACGTTGTAAAGCCTCCAGGACAGAATTACAAATTCTGCACCGTTTTAGTTATTATTGGTATCTGAAATTGCGAATTTGCATAAACGCCCGGAGTCTGGGTGAACAGTTTCTATTCGACTTCGCGGAATCGCGTGCAACGGGGACTCCACGTGGTCGTCCGACGACGTTTCCTACGCACGCGGTTTCGTCCTCAAGAGGTGGTATGGCGGGGGGGGGCCCCCCCCCCGCCGGTGAGTGGTTCACTTCTTGTCTTATCTTCACGTGCCGCCACATTCCACGTTCTCACGTTCCGCTGATACACGCCACCGTTACGTGATCCCAGCGTTCTCACGATGAAAAGTCCCGAGGGAACAAAGGGGGGTTAAAATAATTCGGATAAACGGGTTCTATCGCGAAGAAAACAACAGGGCTGATCTTGCTAAATCTTCATCGCCTAGTGCTGTTTTTCTATCACTCGAAATTTCACGTACCAAATTTAAGCGCCTGAAAAAAGAATCCCCCGAGATTCTCACCAAAAAATCGTCATCGACTGCGGAATTATTTTATTTTTCCAGCACACGGTTCCACAGAGGGGAAAAAACGAGCAACAAGTGTGGGCGCGTGTCTACATATAACGATGATGATCGTGCGTAGCGGGAAAATTGTGTAGTTTTCCGTGCGAGTCCCCGCGCGTCGTCTCTCCAAAAAGGTAAATACGCGTTGCGTCCTTGTCGAGGATTCGTCCGAGAGGTGTACAGATTGGTTCGTCCAGAGGCGGATGGACCGGTGGTCTCTGTTCACTTACCCAGCCGGCTAGGTGCTGACCTCCCACGAGAGAAGTTCGGAGCGACGGGATGGCCAAACGGAGGCAGACAGACAGACAGACACAGAGAGAGCCCAGACGAATGCGCCAGGGAACAAAAACAAGAAATTGCTTGGGTAGGCTCCACGTGCCGGAAGTGGTATTAAACGAACACAGACGTCCTCTCCAGTGGGCCCAAGGAGGCGCGTACGCGATCGACGTCGTCTCGTTGTTTCTGCCAGCGCAGGGGGTTTACACGAGTACAAGATATACCTATGTACGAGTAGGATATACCCGTATATACACACACTGGGTAGCCCCGATAGCGACGAAGTCGCGCACGAGAACACAACAACGGGTCGACCACTCGCGAGCGTAACCCAACGGCGACTCGACGAATCGTCGTCGTGCAGCCGTAGCCGAACCCCGTGCCCAGTCAAGACACGATGGCAAGCGAAGCAGCACTGCACTGTGGACCGACCTGAAAAGTACTGACACGGCCGACGAGACACGCATACGGGCCAGAGGAACAGCAGTCAGTCGTTCCCGAGCCCTCGAAGAAGTGTGTACAGGCCCCCGACACGATCGAGCAGCTCTCTTTCTCGAGGGGGACTTGTGAATCGAGAGAGCCCGTGTGTTCGCCGCTACCGACAGCTGCCACTGGCCCTTCCACCCAACACGCGGCTATCCTGCTACCTCTCTCGCCCGCGTATCCGTATACACAAGGAGAGAGGGAGGAATAGAGAAGCGTGTGGAGTTTTTGGTTGGAGAGACGCGACCGACCCGATGCTCGTTGCCAGGATGTGCCGCCCCCGATATGGAAGAGGAAAATCCCTCGAAAGTGCCCACTGACAGAACCACCTCCTCTACAAGGCTTTATATCGCTTCCCTGGGAAGCTATCATGACGATGACTTATGAATTACGCTGGACGTTCCGGGAACCGCGTCACCGTTCCTTGTAGTATGTAATAATGTTGGATGAGCAACCTAGGTACTTATTGAGTTTGATTCATTCTGTGAATAATTGCAATCGCGCTAGTCTGTCCTGAACAACTTGGTTACCCTTATTTTAAAGTCCACCTATTTACTCATCTTGTATTAAGGCCCATAAAAATCCCTACCACCGAGCAATAGTAGATCTTATGCAATTTCAGACACAGGTCAGACCTAATTAAATCGACACGATGGCACTACGAAATGTTTAGCTTGTAATTGGACTCTTATGACACTCTGTAATCGAATAAACCTCTTCAAAAATTTTTTAAAATGTTGCACTCAATTCTGCCACTCGGAATCCAATAATACCAGCACTCGAGGGAAGACCATGAATCACGCGGCGATCCTCTTATTAATCCTATTACCGATGCATCACGTGCGGAGAGTCTTCTCCGGATGAGTTGTCGAGGTTCGGGGAATTATTGTCACACGATCGTTGAATGCTACGACATCCGTCATCCACACACTTGACAACGACCTAGCGGCTAGATAAACCATCTACCTGTTTTACGAGAACCGCGACGACTCACGAAACAGGCGTTCCGTTATTTCAACATTCACGTGATCGTAAAGTTCGTCTCATTCGTTTCGAGCGTGTATGTACTTTACTTATATGCTGCCACTTCCAGAGAAAGGATAGCAAGAAAGAGTTGGAGAGCAAACGAGATGGAAAAGGAACCGAAAGATAGAAACCCCATGGAATTTACGAAATCAGAAGACCTGCATATCCAGGAAGAAAATTTTTTTTGGACTGGATACTCACGAACAGGATCGACATTCTCCACTCGTCCATGAACAATCCTGATTAATCGTACATTCTCCAAATATATAACCGAGGATTCGACACTTCCCGATGCACTGTGTACGATTTAATCAGACGTTAATTAATCAGATGGTAAACTACCGATTAACCAGCACGTGGCTCGATCGTTTTCTCGCGTTTAACAACACGCCGATTGTCATCGCGACTGCTGCATATCGACAGGTCGTTGTTCCTGACGGTGGCGCCAAGCAGCGACTAGACTTCGTCGAGGAGTCCCGGGTTATCCGGCTCTTTCTCTCCACCGTTTCTCTCCGATCAAGCGTCCGCTTCGCGTCCCGAAACATGAATGGAATGCTTCCTCCGGCGGCCGATGTACGGCCATAGACGACGGGGTTCACGGAATGGAATGGGTCGGGAGAAGTCTCCAGGCCAGGGCCGGGATCATTATTGTCGGAGCCCTTCGTAGGGCGAGCAACGACTGCTACCCTTCCCTCTTCCGACTCGAATTTCCGGAGCCAAGCACCGGACAACGATGGGCGAATTCATTATCTGGGCGAAGAGTTTCTCGAATGAAAAGTACTTCGTGGAAATTAACGTTGAAAATTACAATGTTTCATGATAAAATAATAATTTGCTTTTCCTATTTAACCCTTGTGTAGGCAACCGGGTACCCAGATACCCATTTTTAGATTTCCTTTCACAATTTTTTATGTTCTTGTCTAAAACAAAACATAACTGGGCGATTGTATTGTTGCGTCGAATGGGTACTTTGATCGTGATAACGGGATCTAAACGTGGTCGAAATACCGTTTCAAATGCCGATGGGAAGATAATAGGAGAAAATGCTTGGTGTAATAGGTCGAAGGGTCGATCTTGTCGAATTTTTACTGTGCTCGATCGAAAGTTTGAGATTTCCATATACCGATTTCTGGTAAATATACCCTTGACCGTCTCCTGAATTCTGACAAAATTTATTTTTCCACGATGCACCGATTAAATGTGTACGTGTTCCATGCTTCGTACCCGTTTTTCTTCGACGCACCGTACACACGTGATTCGAATTCTAGAATCAAGAGCACCGCCACAGTCCCTCTCCTTGCCATTACGTACTCCTTTTTCGTGACGGATTAGAAGATCCGATTGAAATTGCATAGCGCTCGTAATTTCGTCGACACGGATTTCCTTGCCACCGGTTCGCTTGGCTCGGAGTTTTCGTAGATCACACACGTGTTCCGCTGGTTCGGGCTCGGAGATCTTTTTCTTTTGACCCAAAGGAGAAGTTCGCCGTCTCGATCAACCGAGACACGTCACTGACGCGTGAGAATACAGAGAGGGGAGAGCAAAGAAAATCATTTTGCGCATCTGCGTGTGACTAAGATGGCAAGTAACGATTATGAGCTGTATTTCCATGCCAGTCGCTGGTTATTGTATTATTTCTCGTCACAACGAAAAGTAGCCTGCAGTATGACACCCGAAAAACGAATTGTCACCCTTTTTTCAATGGGATCCACGAATCGATCGATTGAATTCAGACTTTTTGAAAGTATTCAGATT